CCATGATGCACCTGTAACCAACCCAGCAACCAGCACCTAAACGAAAGCTCAAGCTGAGCATCAGAGGCAACAAAGCATCTCTTTTAAGCCCTTTGAAACAAGAAGAAGCATTCTTCCCGTTTATTGCTGGGAAGTCGTACGAATAGCAAAAATAATACATTTAAATATGAAGCTTTAAAAACAGACTTAGTAGGTGGACAAAACATATCATTTGTAATTCAAACGGTAGGCAAATGTTCAGGTTACAAAGAGCAGAATATTACCCTGCTTCCTCTTCCATCCAACCTTATTAGGTAAGACAATAATATATGCTGCAGCTCGTCTTCTGCAGCAGCAACAAAAGGCTAGTGTATTTTATGAGCCGGGACCATAGAATTAAAGTGCATACTGCTCCCACATTTGATAATTCAGCCAATCAACCTAAGGTTTACCCTGACTTTATTGCTATGTAAATCTCAGTATCAAATTTCCTGGTTTAGGCTGGGAGAGGGAGTGGCTCCTCACCCAGAGGGGAAAGGCTGTGACTCAAATGAGAGCAGGTTCTGATCCTTTGACAAACACAAATCAAAAAGGCAGAGATTACAGAGCATTTCTCTGTGTTAGCACAAGAGATCAATCTGAACAGAAGAACACTGTTATACACTAAACAAATATAAGGCGGACACTAGATATGTACGCCTGGAAACGCTCTGCATTAAACTCATAACTACTAGGAGCACCTTTTAAGCTTAATACTTAAAGGATTAGTTATGAGTTAATTCTTAGATTAAAATGTCCTTAAAACAAACAAAAAAAAATCTAATTTTGGGGCACCATTTGGTCCCATTTCAGGTCTTTGCTGGTTGTTTTTCTTATAGGGATGACTATCTGTTAGCATCTGTTGATAAACTACAAGCTGGAATTTCCATGCTTGAACTGCCTCACATTTTGACACTTTTATGGGTTTATTAGGATTTTATTTGATAGATCGACACAAAATACTGTTTATATTTTACAAATATATATCGGCATGCATGTGAGTGTTAAATTTCTTAATGGATATTGGGCTATTTTCTATCATAAACATGAAAAATACTGAATAATTAATTTTAGCTCTACCACAAAATACAGAGCTAGAAAAATAAAATGGAAAAAAGGATGGATGGATGTACAGACTGATAAAATCAATGTGACTTTCCCTGTATGTTTTTAAACTTCTGCATTTTGCCTCTGGGCACAACTTTGCTTTGGTAAGAAAATGTGGAGAAAAAAAATCAGATTATATAACTCTATTCTTCTGAAGAAATTCCCCTTAACTTAAACATATCAGATGTCTCAGCTGGATATAGAAAAAAAAAACTGGGAGGGATGTGAACAGTTTTCGTTTGCACAGCATGGGATAAATGATGCAAGAGTGAGTAAGGCATGTGTTCTAGATAATTTAGAGAGAAATAATTATGTGGTTAAATGTTGATTGGTCTTTGTCAGTCTTAATATTGATGGAGATTAACAAATCAGGTTAAATGCTATCTTACTGCCATGGTGCTGCCTGCTTGCCTCCCACTAATTTCACTTTTTGAAGTTTTAGTTGTAAGCCACTTCAGACACTGTCTATAAAAAAAAAAATGCACCTCCATCAGAACTTTTCATGGTGCTGCACCAAATATCCAAAAGCAATGCCCATGTCCAGAATAAAAATCTTTACAGACATGTCTAAAGAGGCACAAAATGTGTGTTAACAAAGAACAGATCTGAGCCACCCAGACATGTTTTTTGTGTGTTTTTTTGTCCACATTTGTTCCATTGTTTGTGACTTTAAAGGATAACAGAAGCCTCACAAAGGTAGGCCTGACCCATTCAGGTTATTTTTTTTACCTTCGACCGCCTTTGTTCATGATGCTCTGGGTAAGAATGCGAACAATAGACGATGATGTAATGTGAGAGTTGGTTTGAAAGGCCACCAAGGTGTGGTGCTGAATGTAATCTGAGAACAAGAGTCTTGTTTCATCTTTGACTTCAGCCAGAAGTACACTCACCTTACTCTGTATATTACCTTTAATGAATGAGAACTTCACAGACAGACATTAGTATAAGGATGGTGTGAAAATTTTGATTTAAAGCAACACTGTATATGTGGGACTGTGTTTTAAGTGTTTTAAGATTACACCTTTTTTTTTTGAGGGGGGGGCGGTATTTCGTTTTTATACAGGCTGTAAATGAGATCACAGTCAGAACTCCCCAACCCCTCCATGGTTATTAATGTAGTCTCATAGGTACAAACTATGGTAACACACAATTCATTACAAGTCCTACACTATATAGGATTACTGCTGAGGATGATAAATCTTAGGCTTTTTTCCCCTCTATGTTTTATAGCTAAAAAAAGCACAGAATTCATAGAGGAACACATAGAATTAATGTAGTAATGTATGTGACAACAAACAAGAAAACTCTTAATGGTGATATGTTGTGTTAGAGACTTTTGGCCTGGATAATCAAATACAAGCCCATTTGTTTTTGGACCTTTACTAACTAGCAACAAGGACAAGCCTTAAAGTATTTCCACAAAGAGCTGTATCCAAGCATATTAATGGAAAGTTTAGGTCAGGGGTCACCAACGTGGTGCCTGTGGGCACCAAGGGGCCCTCAAGGACAACATGGGGTGCCCTCAGCATCTTTTGAAAAAAGAACAATTCACCAGTGGACTAAATCTGAAATGTTATTTTTTACTGAAGCTCTTATTTTGAAGTATTTATGAAGCATTTTATCATATCAATAAATTAGAACATTTGAGGATTTATATGGATTTCATAATGAGAATATCTAAAAGAAAATTACAAATGAAAAGAAACAATAGAAATATGTTTATTATCTATGAAATTCAGGTGAACGCCGACTCCTCTAGTTCATAGGTCAGTATTGGTAGCCCGTCCTATGACTCAATACCCATAAAGTAGCCCTCAGCCTTAAAAAAGTTGGTAACCCCTGGTTTTGGCTATGTTCAAACTGTAGGCCTTAATGCTCAATTCAGTTTTTTTGGGTGAAATACGAATCTTTTGTGCTGCTGTTCACATTTCCAAATATATGCGACTTGTATGTGACCTCAAGCGTGAACTGCATTCATACAACACAAGTGTCCCACATGCACAGTGGAGGACGTGATGACGTCACAAGCGAGCGTGCCCTGTGTTTAGACAAATAAACATGGATGGTAGTGCGATCTTTTATTTCTTTTCCAACCTCAACCCCTGGATTAACAACACAGTCTTTTCAAGAGGATTGAAAATAAAGGCTGCTCTCTGCATTATTGTCCGCCATGTCAAGTATTAATGGCGTACAGTTCGGATAAATGCGACCTGTCCGTTCAGAAACAAGTCGCATTTGAGAAGATCAGATATGTATCGGATTCAGGACCACATAGCCAAGTGGCCTGGGTCGCATTGGAAAAAATCTGACATGTGTTGTTCAGACTGTCATTAAAAGATCAGATACAGGACGCAAATGTGAAAAAAAAAATCGGAATTTGGTCACTTCAGGCTTCAGTGTGAAGGTAGCCTTAGTGAAGCGAAAAAGCATGCATCTTTACCCCACATTCTTAGTTGGTAAAAAGAACTACACATAAGTACACATTGATTAACATACTTTTCCAGTTATGGAGTTCTGAATAAAGCATATTGACAGACGGAAAATTATTTTTTAACTTAAATTTAAGGTACAGGTACTGATCATTTTCTCTTTGTTTTTGTTTTTTTACATTTTGGTATAATTACTGCTCAAAGTAGATTGCTCTTTCAGGCAAAGGCATGTTTTAGAGTCTCTTTACTCCAGTTAAAGGATTAATCAATTACTAAATTATCTATTAATCATTTGAAATGTCAATTAATTACGATTAATCCGATTAATTGTTTCAGCCCTAAAATAAACTACCATGGGTTATTTGGTGCAAAGACATCATCAGCAAAAATATTGAAGACTTTAAATAACAGTGACATGCGCCATATGTCATTTTTATTCATTCACTTTAATAATTTTGTTATATATTAATATATTATGAATAAACCGAAAACTATAGCAAAAGCTTTCATTATGTAGCATCCAAAGTGCTAAGCAGGAGATTATAGCAGCCTCCTGTTCATCCAACTCATTGGAAACAAGAAGCAGAAAGATGATAAAGGCATGAAGAGCTTTTATTGGGTGCACACTATCAGTCAAATCGGTAACTGATGTTAATCGTCTGACTAATGTTTTCTTGTTGTTGGCTGAGAAGATTTAGAAGATATCATCATTCATTTTTAACGTGGACAGTTTTCTCATTGATATTAACAGTTTCTACATGCATTAGGTAAAATTGTAGCTCCACAATGTTTCAAGATGAAAGGAACTAAGAGTTATAGCTAGAAAATGGCAGACCAACTTACTGAGATTTACAGCTGCAGCGACTCTAATAGCAAACCCATTCCTGCTTGCAGGATCCATCAACAGCTCAGGAGGCTTATCTACTATCAGACAATCTTTATGAAAAAGCCAATTTTCTGGTGGCTAATAACACCTCCAGTACATTTCCAAAGGAGAAATTATTTTAAAAATATGATCAAATGTCTGACTTGCTGAGCAAATGTTCCCTGCCTTTACTCAGGTTTGAATATGGATCTAGAAAATTTAATTTATGTATCTTCCCATTTTATAAAAACAATCTTCTGTACAAGGAGTTTTATTGTCTTCTCACCCAATTTCACATTCATCTCTTGATTTCGGCCAGCCAGTCCAAAAAAAATGTGGAAAGTAAATGTGCAGAGTGTCTAAACCTTTATCCTGCTGGTCTGCTGCTTCTCCAACGTTTAACATAAAGACATCAGATTTAAATGGTGTGTCTGCTTTGATTTCCACCTTATCAGTAGTCATCTTCCTCAACTCAGGTTCTGCTTTTCATTTTGCTCCATCTTTCCTCCCAAACAGATTTCTTGAACTAGCTGTGCTTAAAACTACTCACGTGTTTGCTTAGTTTTATAACAGGTACTCACCTTCAAAATGTGGATGTATATGTGCTGGGTAGGATCCATACTGAATCAGGACAGGAATTTCAAGCCCTTGTCGGACCCATTCCACCACATGAGGGGATGCAGACGAGGCAAACTGCATCTCTGGTGGAAGGAAACTGCACTCCAGTTCCACTGAGTTTCCAACCTTTCCACGAACTTCTGACTTGATGCCTTCCGTTGTTACTGATGAATTTAAGCAGTGAAATAAGTTTTAGTAGTTTGTCAAACGTTCTTTACATGAGATAATGAAGTGATACTTACAAAAGTGGCAAATGACTACAACTGCAGTGAAAGTCTGCCGGTATGATCTTCCTGACCCCATAGCTGTCACTCACACAACCTGCAGCCTGTTCACTCTGTTGGCAAAAGAGACACAATTGCCACATTCCCATTACTTCCTTGGCTGCACATAGGATGACAGCCATCTGTGACAGCTTTCCAACCTAAAAAGACTAACCGAGCTGTCAGTACTGTCATCATTTTACAGGAAGGGAGAAAAGAGCATTTGGATTTTTCTATAGTTTTCCAATAACTGGAATTCATCCCATATCATTTCACAAATGGGAAGAGCAGCCTCTGCAGCCAGACAGCCTGGCCTCCTTCTCCTTTTTCTACAAGTTGATGACATAAACGCCATATCAATCTTAGGAGTCACGTGAGCAGCAGCAGCAGCTTAGTGTTTTATTTAAAGCACATCAATGACGGTACCTGGCTGCAGCATTGAGACTATATGCGGTCAAGGACAGGATAAAATTGAGAGGATAGGACCAAAAGGAAATATTAAGGAATTCTAATTAATGTCAAAGTGCAAAAATGCTTCAATTTTGCTTTTTGTGTTTGAAATGTACTACAGTACGCCGACCTGGAACATCCATTTCAATGGGAATCTTTCATTACTTCTGGTTTAGGAGACACCAACGGACATATTTGCAACACATTTTTCATGATTGTTGAGTTGTTTGAAAAAAAAAAAACAATAAAATAGCTGCCAGCAACCATCTGTTCCCAGTAGAGCAAAGTTGTGCCTCCAGCCCTGCTCTATATATCATGCATTTCAATGCAACCGCAGTCAAGTAAGCAGCTGATGTTGGTTTCCAGGTTTTTACACAGCCTGTGTTTTTGGAACTTTTTTGTTTCCCCAGTGCAAAATAATCACATTGGGACCTTTGAATTTTTAAAATGTATTATAATACCAGAACTCATTGAATAAAGCATAATGTTCTAGAAATATATATATATATATATTTTTTTTTAATTTCAACCATTTTCTAACAGAATTATTGAAAACAGGAGGACTTGCGGTTATTGCTATGATCCTGTGGGCTATGTTGGCCTTGGCCTCAATAACACTTTGACCTCTGAGAGAAACATAACATTGAGGGCAATTCTAAGATCTCTTTAGCCTCTTTCCCACTGAAAGTAGTGTGTTAATGCGTGTTTTATAAACATGGATCGACCCACTAACAATTGACATTTGGCTACCTTCCCATTGGCAGAAGAAACTGGGTCTAACCCCTCACTGGCAGCTGCATGGCCTCTGTCCCGACACAGCTGTGTGTCTGGTCACACCATCACACAAGGTTAGCTTTGATGATTTACTAGTGCGACAGAAATCAGGAAAGTAAACAATGGAGAGAAACATGTAAGGAAGCCAGGGCGTAGTCAGTATTCTTCATTATTTTCCTCTTATCTATTTGAATCCCTCTTACCAGCGCTGCTCCATGTTTATCGAATGTAAACACAGTGGTTTCGGCTTGTTAGATCAGATGTGATTGGTGCGGCGTGTTGACGTCCATACGTTGCACTCAATGGTATCAAGTAATTTAGCAGGTAAACCCAGCTCTGGCTATCCCACAGCCTGCCAATCAGTGCCTATTTTAACACAGGTAGCGTGCAGAGTCGTTTGACCCAGGTAGACACGCATCAGTGAGCTGTGAACTGCCACTAAAAGCTGATTGTTACCAGGTTTAAACAGGTTTTTTCCCCCTTGACAAAGGCTTTCTGACTGGCTACACCTCCCATTCAGAATGTATGTCCTAGTCTATGGTCAAGGACCACAAGAAACCTTAGGATATCGGGAATTAGAAAATCCAAAAGGTTGGATTTTTACCAATTTGCAATCTGACTCATCCCAGCATTTTCTGCACAAAATGTCTGCAGGGGAAGCTCATGGCAAGAATCGGCATGATTATCTTGTTAACAAGGCATTGACTGTGAAAACAAATTGGCAGACAAGTTGGGACCCAGCCTTACTAATTTACAGTGTAAAAACCAAGCTATTTTATGTTTTTAGTTTAACACAGTATCTTAAAGCCTGCAGCATGGAGATATTTTAGTATTTAGCAAATTTGAATTATCAGATTATTGATGGTCTTGTTATAATTTCCAATTGCTATCCAGAGTGATTAACACTCTACCGCCACATCAGCAGTCATGCACACCTTATTTCCTGTTTGCACCCCGCACATTTATCGCCTTTCTTTAAATGTGGGTCTGGGGCAAAGTCTAAACCAGTGGAAAACAATTACGTAGGCTGTCAACAGTTGCTGTGCTTGGTTCAACACACTCCCATGCTTCAGCAAACAGCGCACCATACAAGATTTTCTCTAGAATTAATGTGAGAGTGAAAACTCAATCTGCAGCCCTTCTGTTCATCACAGTCAGCTGGAACGTAAACACTCCAATCCTCAGTCCTTCACCTACCTGACTTTTTGCTGTTGCATAGAAAACTTCATGCTCAATCGATTACATTTGATTTAGATGTAAAGTGTTTGAGAAGAGAGGACAAGGAGACAGGAGGAGTAGCTGACACATTATGGTTATGCTTCAAAGAAGTAAAATCTGATACATTCAGCCCGGCTGTCCATCACTCATCTTCATTCTGCTTAGAATGAACAGATGCTCAGTATACAGGCGCATCTCAATGAGTTTGAATAACAGAGAAAATGCTTATTCATCTTAGTGATTCAGTAACAAAATTATCATTTATCTACATTTTTTTTTACAATATTTCTTTCTTTTTATGTCAAAAGAGAGGGATGATGGTATTGCATAGGGTGATTATTGCATAGATACGAACAAAGGGAAGTGAGCAAAATGTAGGCTTATCACAACTCACTTAATCTTTCCAATATAAAACAATAACTGTCATAATAATTGTCAAAGTATTTTTTTAACATCATGTAGCCCTTCCTGCAGCCTTGAGGACTGCAAAGCTAAGCCATCTAAAGAGAACTCCACATTCATTGCAGCTTATTACCAGGAAATCTTGGAGCTTTTGTTTACACTTTTTCTGTCAGAAATTTTATTCGCTCTCAACTTTCCATAAATAAACAATCCCAGAAGTCTATGCCAGAAGTAAGTTAATACAGCCGAATTTTTTAATTGTTTTCATTAAAAACGTTTTTCTTCAAACTTCAGGCAAGTCAAACTTGACCCTGACTGCTGCTTTTAGAGATCCTGTAAACATTTCTCTTTTCTTCATTTAATCATCTATATTTTGGCAAGTGAGATTCTGTGAAACTCAAATAAAAAGTTCACACAGAAAGTTTTCAAGGAAATCTAAATTTAAGATCTGGGTATTCAATATGACTTCATTTTATACAAAACAGGATTGACTTCTGGAGGTATCTTTAGACTTCTGGTGTTTACTTCCAACATGGATGGTAAATGCAGTTCAAGTTAATATGCTGCATGCTGAAAAAGGGATGAAATGATTAAATTACTTTAATTAAAAATATGCTACACAGACTCTAAAACATGCTATTTACTGAAAGATGAACCTTTACAGCTTCAATAAAGCCATTGCATTTTCAATCTAAGATAAGAAATCTAAATTTCTTATTACATCTTTACAAGTATATATATTGTACTTTTTTTTTTTTTGCCATTTACAATTAATTTACTAAATTCCAAACATATAATCAAAATTAAATTAATTAATAAAAAAATACTAAATGAATCAATAGCTGCAGTCTGACATTAAACAGCCAAACTCTTTATTAATAATCTTTTACAGGTTACACTCCTTATTGGAAGTGTCAGTCTACTAGACTATCGTACTCTATAACACCACTCCTGTCAATTAGAAAATCAAATTTCTAGGTTTGGATTCTCTGTAAACTCATATCTGAATTACTACCATGTGTAATGAATCTAGATAACATGAGTTTTAATCACTGACACCCTCTTTTAGGAAGGTTCGCCACGGAACGTCAATATTGAGGAATCTGGCTTTTGACAAACTGCTGTATCCGAGGATAATAATGAAAAACTTAGCATGAGAAAAAGCCCCTCCTGAACCAGAGAGAGACAGTTAAAAAATAAACCTTTTGAAATGCATAATTTGCTGTATTCTCTTTCCTTAATTAGGAAGAATAAAGACGGTAAGGACTGAATGCTTAAAAATGATGTCTGTCATCTGAAGCTGTCAAGAGGCATTAGAAGAGAGAGTTTTTTGTTTAAAAAGACTTTAAAAATAAAACTTTCTTACAGTCTGATTGGTCATGATTATGCTTGTATATGACTGGCAAAACAGAAAACAATAAAGTGGGGAAAAAAAGACAGCGAGGAAAACACAGCAAGAGGAAAGATAAGAGTAAAAAAAAAAGGCTCATTAAGCTGCAGGACATTTTCTGTCATTAAATCAGAACTAAAATACTAAGAGCAGCCAAACAACACACAGCCGCTTTGTTTAGACGCCATAGTGAGTCAGACTCTCTGTACATTTCCCTCAGACATATTCTGCCTCCGTCCTGCCACTGATAGCACAGCTTCAATGGTCGTGCACTCTGGAAAAGCTTTAAAGATATAATGAACGAGCAGGTAGCCCTTAAAGGAAAGCAGCTGGATTTATCACCTGAAAAAAATAGAAATGTCAGTGACAGGCGTGTTGCTGGAATTCTGTTGCTGCCTTTTCAATCTGTGTAAGAAGACGGGCCGAATAATCATGACTGAGGCTCAGATTTATCAGGCTCCTCAAACGACTGCTCCCTTAAAAGCCAAAACATGGACAGTCTCCCAGACAAATGTTTTCCAGTCAAATTGAGTTTCTCCTCTCGCAAAAAGTCTTTCAGGAATCCACATTGTTGGCATCAAAACAAGCTTTTTTTTTTACGTCCATACCAGTTTATCGATTGAAGTGGCACGGTGACTGTACCCTTTAAGGAAAATGAAGCACTAAACTTTCCCTCAGAGTGTGGACTATTTCAAGACTGCTTCTATCTGCCAGCAACAGAAATTGGACATTAACCTCTGAATAGATTGCAAACAGAAACGATGGGAAAAGGTCAACCACCAATGTGCTGTGACTGTAAAAAGGTAAAAACAGGCCCATAAGATGTCTACTTCAATACCA